TTTTGCTTGCATCTAAGCCCCCTGTTACCAGCGATCACCACGAGGAGGTTCCCCACGTCGATCGCCCAATCGGCAATGAGCTGATAGCCTTGGCGGGATGGATCCGGTTCGTGCCTGGAGTGTGCGGTTGCGCAAGAGCTTGGAAGCTCTGTCGGAATGGATCCCGATTCGTGACTGGAGTGCACGGTTACGCAAGCTGCAATGAGCTGATGGAGACTCGAGTCAGAATGATCCGGTTTGCACCTGGGTGCGCGGTTGGCCACCCGCTTTGCCCCAAGACGCTGTGCTTTTCCACGGTTTTCGTTGTGGGCCGGTGATGCCACTGCTAATTAACAAGGCCAGGCCTTCGGGTCTCGGTCGTTCTTCCACTCCACTCCACTCCACTGGAACCATCATGCAAGTCTTAGGAACTCCTCCTGTAGCGTGCAATCACAATTGAGAAATGCTCGTTCGAGTTCTGCAGGGGCCGAAGCATTTTCCGAAGCTGATCTGTTGAGTTTGGTTTGACAGAAGAAGAAACCTGTGCGGTTGTCAGTTGTCATGGCCAATTCGTGTTTAAACTTGCAATCATACAGTCTGGTTTTGTGCGGTTTGGAGCTTTTGCCTTGCTTTCCAATCGGGGCTGCTGTGCAAAGCAAGGTTTAGGCCCACAGTGCACACGACGGTTGGCTGGGAACGGAGCCGCTCGCTGAGTCGGTAAGACTTTCCGGAGGACTGGTAATGGGAACCAACTGAGACGGCTGGATTGTCAGTTTGGTTTGAGATGTTTTATGCGTGAGGTTCCTCCGGTGGTCGCGTTCGTGGCATGCTCTCCTAGATTTTTGTGAACGGTTTTGCAATGAGCTTCTAGCTTTTGGTTTTCCCACGTTGTGGGAACAGGTTTGGCTTTGATTTTTCGTTCAACGTATCGTTTTTGGCCCCCACCAATTTTCAACCCAGCCAAAACCCTTCCGAGAGTCCAGGGCGCAACCGGCCATGGCATGGTTACCCAAGGCTTCATCCGGAAGGGCACACCGTGTGAAGGGTCATTGGGCTTTAGGCCTGTTATCAAGCTTAGTGGTCTGCTACGTGACCTGGAGTCCGTGCAGGCCTCTTCGGCAAGTAAAAACGCATCTAATCTGCGTTGGTTGACTTAAAACGTAAAAACTGAGGGGATATGCTTCTCTTACCACCGAAACCGTGTCACTGTTGCCACTTTTCGGATGCGATTGTGCAAAAACACAAGGAAAACGCTTCTTCTAAAGCGAAACCGTGTGACAGCTGCCACTTTTGGAAGCCAATTCTACCAAAACCCAAGGAAAGTAGCCAATGATTGCTTAAACAGGAAAAGGGACACAACGCTTCAAAGGAAAAACCATGGGAAATGAAGCTTTTTCATTGTTTGAAGCGTTTTTCCGGTTTTTGGCAATCTATTTTGGAATGCGTACTTTCCTTGGGTTTTGGCAGAATTGGCTTCTAAAAGTGGCAGCTGTCACAGGGTTTCGCTTGAGAAGAAGCGTTTTCCTTGTTTTTTGCACATTGGAAGCCAGAATCCTTGTGAGTTGCAGTTTTCGTCAGAAACAATCCCATCTGCGCGTAGAAAGAGAGAGTGCGCTTGTGATCAGCGTCGGTGCAAGTCTGTGTTGGGTGCACATAGAGCCAATCAGGCACTGATTTGGTTTAGCAACACTATCCGCGCGCTTTCAATGACACCCTTCCAAAGCCTTTAACAAAATGCTTGCGAAACAAGTCACCAAGCTGCTACCGCAACAATACCCACATGCCTTCAATGACAGTCCCTACACCCAACAGTCCGAAGTTTCCACGAGTACTCAAGTTGGCATTCTTCGCTAAGCCTCACACCAACCAGAAAAGCAACACTAAAAAAACGTTTTCAGTGATCAGACAGTGAGCTGCGTGCTCGCATCCGACCATTGTCCATCTGTCATTGAAGACGGTTTTCTAGCGTGGCGTCCCATACGGTTTTCTTTTGTTGCGTCCCATGCTTCAGTTTTGTTTGATTTGGGCAACTTGTCCAAGGCTAGGTACATGGTTTGTAACCCTCGAAGCACTCTAGGTTCCGTTTTTTGGGCCTCTAGAAAGACAGGTTTCTCCCGACCAGTCCATGGCCCTTAACAGTCACATGCCCTGTGGAGGAGTTGTGAAGGGTGCTCCCCGTTTTGAGGTTTCTGACAGTATGGTGACGGTCGTGTTGTGCTTTCAAGTGTGCTGCAGTGAAACGCTCTTGGCCAGTTTGCTTGTTGGTTCTCGATTCTCGATGCCAGGTTTTCCCATCGTTGAAAAGTTGAAGTCCCAAAGTTTACGTGTTCAGGGGGTCCAGAACCAGGAGCTCCTTTAGGAGTGGTTTTGTAGGGGGCATAAGGGGGCCTCCTCAGTACATTTCTGTTGTCTCACAACGTGGCTCCAAAAGAGGGGACAAAATCTTGGGTCGTTTCGGACGAAAACACCAGGCCCAGTGGTGAACTCTTTCGAGCTTCCCACCGTGTAGACAGAACCGCGTTGCCTTCTCATTCTTTTCATTTGAAGATATATATATATATATATACATATATACATATATATACATATATATATATATACACATATATATACATATATATGCATATATATATATATATATATATACATATATATATACATATATATGCATATATATACATATATACAAACATATATATATATATATACATATATATGTACTGCTGCTACCACTGATGGATGGGACCTCCGGGCGGTAGTGGCCTATTGGACACGGGGACCACAAAAGAAAGAATTTTACTTCCCAGACCGGTTGTGGCGTTTCGCACATTTCGACGCATTTGACTCAAAATCGATGGTCCTTCTCCACCGGTTGGCAGCCAGGGAAGACAATCAGACGCAGGAGCTGCCTGGTGGCGAGCGTCCCTGGGTCAGGCTGGGACATCCCTGGGCGCACGAAGACTGGAGGGCAGCGGCCGAAGAGTTCCGCCGGCAAGGGGGCCTCGGACCTGGCCTCCAATTGCCGTGTATATCCACCGACCTAATGCCACATCTGCATGCCCCCGACCAGGATACTCACCAATACACTTTTCGAAGAGTGAAGGAAATCTATCAGGACGGCAATTACCAGCTGCTCTATCTCTTAAGGGAGAGTCACTTCCCTTCGAGCGGTCGTGACATGCAGCGCCAACTCGATAGCTGGCCGCGCTAGGCGGTGGCTGGCCCCTCTGGTTGACAGTAAGCCTTTCAGCCGGTTGTGACCGACGACATACGTCGTTGCGTCTGTGTTTCTAGAGCATGCGTCACCTGGGGTTACTCGGCTTAAGCGCGCTTTGCCGAGGCGGACTCATCGATGTGGGCAGGCAGGCCCCCGCCACCATGTCGTTGCACCCGAGGGGTGGATGCCGGCCACGCTTGCCTGTGGGCCTTGGAATTCTGGCTCTGGTGCAGTTGCTACGGAACCAATGGGATCAGGCGGTTCATCACTGTCTGCGATCGCGGTCCCCCTGTGGAAGCCGTTGCGACTGACGACATACGTCGTTGAGTCTTTTTTCTTGTTCCCCATGCCCTCGGCACCTCGTTGGTGCACCGTCACCTGGTGTTCGAATTTGGACTATGGTGGGCACGTTCGAGCGGAAGGGTGTTTGCTCCTCAGCCTCGCCGCCTACTGGCCTCCACCGCTCGCCCCTTCACCTGTCAATCGGTTTACCCCCACCGCCGAATGGTGTCTTCCATCGCCATAGCCGCCACAACCGTGCGGCGATGCCGTGGAAGCGGTGACCTGCATGTCAATGTCCACCTTGGCGATCTCTGCCTCCTTAGCGGCTGACCCTGTGTCCCATCTCACCGCTTGTGACATTGATTCGCTTCTGCTGGAGGCGTCCATGTGCACCAGAGCGGACTGGTGGCACAACTCGTCTCGCGTTGGACTCCGGCAGGTTGCCCGAGTGGGTGTTGCCCACTTTTGTTGCCAGTGTTGCACTTGAGCACCGTTTTTGTGCTTGGCTCGCCTTGAAACGTGATGGCGGTTCTTGAGCTGAGACACTTGCCTGCGACACTGGTCTTCGCACCTTTCCAGATGCCGCTCATGGATTTTTGGAATTTGGTGTGCGCGATCGTGACGGAACAAAACACAGGGGTTGTCCGTTGTCTGGCGAGACTAGAACGGCAACCGGAGCCTGGATTTGGCTCCACCTGTTGTTTTGGGCAGCTCTGAGCGACGGCTCTTTGTTGCTCCTGACCGGTCGCTGAGGCTCCGTAGTTTGTGCTGAACGGCTAACACCGGCAAAGCCTGTGCGCCGCAGCCCCTTGTAGAGCTTCGCTTTGTTGTCTCACCGCTTTGTCAGTTTGTAGTTTGAGTTTGCTTCGCTTGTTTGTAGGGACCGAGTGCTACAGCCGTAGTCGACGAGGCCCAGTCAAGCCAAAAAAACATATATATATATATATATATACATATATATACATATGTTGGCGTGGATTCACTTTTGCAAGCTTTCCTACTTCGCATGTATGTTGGATTGGATCAACATTTATATGCAAGCTTTCCTTCTTTGATTACTTGCATTTGCACTCAACAAAATGCGGAGGATAGGCACGACAAGACATTCAACAGTCGGCATCAGCAAGTGCAACCAGCAATGCAACGAGATGAAAGCCAACCATAAGTGCAATCAACCTTTGAGACATCGTTTGCAACCAAGATTCGGCAAGTTGCTAGTTCTTTTGGCAGCCCCGCTCCGTTGTGAAGGCGGAAGCGTCCAAAAATGTCTTGACGCGTCGGTTTCACTGTTGCAGGGATGTCGCCTTCAAGTGAGACCCAAATGTTCCGACACCTTGTGTGTGCGTGTGTGTGTTGCCTTGACTCTGTACAGGCGCAGACAGCAGGGGGCTTCGCGGTGCTTTGAGCGCTGTGCTGATCCGTGTGTCAAGGCTGGCGCGTAAAGGACCCTTGTAAGGGAGCTGTGCATCTCCATGTTGGCCAGGCTTTCGCCGAGTCCGAGCTGCTTCTTTCTCTCCCAAACATGTCTATGCCAGTGTGGTGTGACAAGGATTTGACCATCGGGGCCAGAGGCACTTATCGCCTCAATAGCGATGGCACCGTCGTTCGCGACTCTGAGCCATCGGGTGATGAAGACCTGCACCTGAAGGATGATGGCACCGGCCTCGAAGAGGACCCTGTGAAGACGACCAGCATTCGGCACGAAGGCACGTGGCAAGCACTCGAAGAGGAAGGGAAGGTGAGCGTGAACTTCCGAACAACGATCCGGACCAAATCAGACGGCCAGACAGTGTCAGAGGGCACCAACATGTTTGAAACCCTGCAATGGCGAGGAGATGCGTTTGAAGACTAAAGCAGAGGCATGGCCTTCTCCCCTCCATGACACCTCTCGAGCTGGATTGCATTCGAGTTGCTTCGCAACTGCTTTCATTTGTCGGAAGTTGTAGGCTTCGACAAGCACTGCCGGCTGGAAGCAGTCATGCATGGCTTGCGAATAATTTCCTTAAACCTGAAACCCGAGTGTTATGACTCCGGCACGCAAGTTGGCACCGTTGTTTGGTAGCCTGTGTGCAAGGGTCTTTATGCCACTCTCGGCGCACCGTGAGCATTCCATTGCTTATTCCGAAACATTGAGGAAGTGCTTAAGCTTGTGTCTTGCCAGAGCGTGACGGTGGGCATCTAGCAGGTTTTGGTTGAGGTGGTCCGTACCCAAACCAGTGAGGATCCAACAGCTTCCCGGCACGTTGGCAAATTTCAGCGGTTTCCACATTCAACAACAAACAGGCTGCTGAGCAGCATCTTGGATGGCTTGCCGGGCCGTCACAACAAGCCAGTCTTGCGGGTATCCGGTAGGAGCTCTCGCGCAGAATCCGGGTCACAAACGAGAAGTACACTTTCACACTGTTGCGGACATGGATGCCTGTTGGTAAGATTGAAGAAGTACCACATACATAGGGCTTCACGCCATTCGATCTAAGCTTTTGTTCATTAACTTGCAAGTTTTATTCCAACATGCCTGCATCAGTCGAACGTTCGCAAGTGGTGCTGAATGGCTCAAGCTCCTTTGGCTTCGACGACATACATGCACGGGGCATGATGCCACGATTGTGCTCAATGACCGCGGTTGGCTTCAACATGTGGTGGATTTCCATCGTGCAGATTTTACTGCAGGATGCAAAGTGCATTGCTTGCATACGACATGAGTGCTATTTGCCGCCACAAGCTTGTGCGAACACATGGTGCGAGACTCAGCCCTGGAATTGTTTCTATGACAATGGAAATCGTTGCACTCTTTTGCAGGCGTTTGGCCCGCAAATGGTTCCCGATCTGAGTTTATCAGTGCCGCGATTGGGCACCGAGAAATCTGCATGGTGCTCAGTGATGAGGCTTTCGACAAATTTTGCGCTCATGCGGCGTGCATGTGTCGAAGTATATTGCTGATTGTGGAAGCCATCGCGCATACCGCATACTGTTCCGAGATCCAATCCGGATCCCTCCACAGGTGTAGAGGACATGACGGGCGTCATTGACAATTGCACGTTTTCGAAGTTCCATTGTTATTCCGGAAAGTGCAAAAGAAAGCTTTGGTGATCCGCTTGAGCCATGGTGCTGCTTGTCGGGGGAGGAACAGGGAATGTCGGCTCCGCAGTGGTGCAAGCGCTGTCATCTTCTGGCTTCGCACAGCCCCTAGAGTTCCGAAGTCATAAAGTTTGCTTCTTTGGAATGATGCTCTAGGAGCATGCCGTTGTGTTGCATCGCAGGCTGTGAAGGTTTTGTCACGGGATCTGTCCACAGCGAAAGCGTCGAAGCTCTCAAATCTTCCGGGCGTCTCATGTGTTCAAGGTGGCCCCAAGCTCTGTGTCCGGTGCGGTTGTAAGATTGGCTGTGCAAAGCACGGAGGCAAAGCAGCATGCAGCAGCGTGCTTGCAGGTGACATGGGCGATCGGACGGCCTTGGCATCTGCGTTCGATGGTGTCACTGCCTGCTTTCTGGGCTGTTCAAATTCTGATCCTTGGCTGGAGTTTGGCATTTCTAAGTCTGGTGTTGCATGGTGTGTGTTGGTCCGAGGAACAGCAGGTCCGAGACGAGATTGCCTTCATCGACGCCGCTCAGGGATCCGGCTGCCGGTACCTGGTGAAGCTGGGGACCTGCGGGGCTCCAGGTACCACCCTGCATGTCTTGAACCAAGCAGGAAGAGAATATGACAAACGTAACTGAAACAAAAGCAATAAAGAAAGACCAAAGATCCGAAGAGAATCGTTGAGATCACGGTAGGGCGCTGCACGTCTTCCTCATGCAAGTAAATAACATCAAAAGCGTCTGCTTCTCACTTATCACAACACAGCGTGAGGCCTTCAAGAGGTAAAGGTAAAGGTGATCGGTCCACCAGTTGCTGTCAGGCTACACCTCCGCAGACAGCATCATCCAGTACGGCCGTTGCTTGCCTTGTAAAACGATGCTTTTCTTTGGAGTTCTCGGACTTCTTGCCTAGTTTGTCCGGTTGGAGCAAACGAAAGTAGGCAAAAAGCCCGGCGTCGTTCTTGCTCTCGCCGTGATGAGGATTGAGAAGGGAACTCGTAGGGTTTGCCCAGATTTCGCGAGGATTTTGCTGAGTTTCTTGGAACCAGTGCCCAAGGAAACCGTGGCTACGGGCAGAGACCGGTTTCGATCAAAATCCTCTTCTGCAAGCCACGCCGAGAGTCTGTCAATCGGACCTGATGGAAAACAAAACTTAAGGCAAGGGTCTCCAAATTTGCTTCTGATTGGAGAAGTCTGCGCACATTCCTCGTTGTTTGAAAAGCCTTGTGATTCTCCAGCAGCTGCAGGTTTCCATGCTGAGATCGAGAAACACCTGGCTTCGACAGATCTGGAATGGACAGTCTTGAGGTGGGGTGGCATGGAAGGCAGTATCAGCGTGCTTGTTGCCTATTGTTCTTCGCTCTTCTTGTCCATGACTCCCATCATTGCGGTCGTGGCTTTTGTCATGTGTGCGAGGGGCCTTACTACTGCTGTTCCCACGTATCGCCGTGACTCAGAATCTCAGAAGATTGGTACATCGTCCTACTCCTGCACCTTCGCCTACACCTATGCCCACGCCGGCTGCTCCTGCTACCGCTACGGCTACGGCTACTCCCTACGTACTACTTCTGCTGCTGCTATGGCTCCGGCTACGGCTACGGCTACTTCTACGGAGCTGCTGCTGCTGCTGCTGCTGCTTTTGGTATTGCTGCTGCTACTGCTGATGCTTATACCCTTCCTTCTACTACTGCTACTACTGCTGCTGCGGCTGCTGCTGCTGCTGTTGCTACTGCTACTGCAACTGCTACTGCTGCTGCTGCTGCTGCTGCCACTACAGCTACTGCTACTGCTACTGATACTGCTGCTGCCACTGCCACTGCCACTGCTGCTACTGCTACTGCTACTGCTACTGCTACTGCTACTGCTACTGCTGCTGCTGCTGCTACTGCTGCTGCTGCTACTACTACTACTACTACTACTACTACTACTACAATAACTACTACTACTACTACTACTACTACTACTACTACTACTACTACTACTACTACTACTACTACTACTACTACTACTACTACTCTTACTGCTACTGCTACTTCTACTTCTACCACCCACTACCACTACAATACGACTAAGTGAAGGCCCAACTTTTTCTTGCAGAACCACATGGCAGACATCTTTGGATCCGTTCCGCAAGGCCTTCCTTTCACACAGTTCGTCATGTGTTCTTTTGCAAACCCGGGCTACGGTGCCGAAGCTCAGGAGTCGTTGCGTATCCAGTCCAGCCCACGAGCCTGGCACGCAGTGTGGACGTAAGGGATGTCGGAGCCGGCCTCGGCTCTCTTTGCCACTCTTTTTCAGGCTTGGAGGCTTTAGGGACTTTAAAGGACTTTGGGGTTAGGGATGCTTAGAGTTTAGGGTTTAGGGAGTTTAGGGCATCTGCGCTTCTGTGGTTTGCCGATGGAGGGCTTCGGAAGACGTTCGCACTCGATCTGACCTCGCTCAGGCCATCTTGCTGCAAGGCTCCTGATGCTGAGCCCCGAGGAAAGAGCAAAGCACCAAGGTCGCTCGACTGCTGGCTTATCATCTTTGGAGTGCTTCCTCTTTGCGGAAACGGTGTAGGAAAGCAACATCCTCTTGAATAGATTGCCTTCTACAGCCTTCTACCTTTCAGTTCAGACACAGCTGCTCAGAATTCAAAGGCAAGATCTACGACGTCTGCGGCCCAGAGGCGGTCAGCACGACGGATGCTGCTGCGCTGCTCATCGTGGATTCAGTGTAGGAGGGAGTGGTTTAGACCCAAACTCCCGAAGCCCTCTTGAGGCATTTCTCAGCAGCACTCGGCCGCCCCATTGAAGCGGTGCAGATTCCCGCAGAAGCGTGGAGAGGGAATGCGGAGAAGGCGGCGTTGCTCTCCCTCCGTGCCTTGGGCCTTGGCGTCCAAACTTGTCCAAACAGCGCCGAGGCTGGCTTCCCGGCATGGCTGGCGGAAGCAGTGTGCCGGAACTTCACAGACTTCTGGGACAAGGCGATTGGAGTTTCAAGCTTATCTTAGAGGGTTTGTGCAGCAAGGGCCTCGGGTCCGTCCGGCCGATGCTCTGGCTGGTAACACCGACTTTGCCAAGTTTGCGCAATGGATGCTCTGGTAACACTGTCTGAGGTGCCGACGTTTATGCAACCGGATTTGAGTACCGAGAACGGCCTTGTTTGCGGGTGTCCATGCGAAAACGTTGCCAGGGACTCCTGGACTTCCCCAGCAGCCCAGAGGTCTTGGAGATTTTTCCACCATCGCGGACCTTGCGTTCTGGCTGCAGCTGGAGTGGTCTGGGCAAGCGAGGGCCCTGGATTTCGCCCCGAAGCGTTGCAGGAAGGCCTGGATCGAGGAGCACGCCTCGCTCGTCGCCGAGCTTCCATCCTGAGACTTTTGGACAAGCTTTCGGGCGAGACATGGTCAAAAAGAGCTGTTTGCTGCCACTTTCCCTGCTGCTCGGCATCTTGCTTGATGTCTTGTGCTGTTGCCAGTATCAGGCATCTTCTTCGCAGAAACTGGCCTGGCACTTGTCGCATATGAAGCGTGGGACATGGGCTTGCAGTTTTCCGCTTCTCGCAGGCGAGTCTGCTCCAGCAGCCCGTCAGACTCGATCTTCCGGTGCGAAGGAGCTCCGGGGCCCCGGGGGCCCGGTTGGGGGGGGGGAGGGGGGGGGTGTTGTCGGCGTCTGCGTCTTCCGTCTGCCTCTCTGAGAGGCCGCAGCTCTGCGAGGCGAAGCCGAGCCCCGGCCCGAGCCCCTGGCAGCAGAGGCAGAGGAAGTCGGAGCCTCTCGTGGGGCCGAACTCGGCCCAGCGGATGGCCAGCGACGAGGAACGCCGTAGCTCGGTGGCTTTCGAGAAGAGGGTCACCATGGCTCCGCCAGCTCCGTGGATGGGAAGATCAAGCTCCTCCCCATCCCTTCGTGAGCCCGAGCCACGGGAGTCAGAGCCCATGGTCCCCGCAGACTTCCCCTCCACGCTGCGGCGCGTGCGGCGGGGCGCACCCAGCCGTGCCAACATCGCAGTCGGCACCACGCGCACTACAAGTTCCACAGCATCAGCAGGGTCTGCAGGTCACACGGGGATGCACCGAGCAGACCGCGGGAGGGCCGCTGAAGAGCTACTGGAGCTGGTGGATGCGCGGGAGGATCTCACCGCGACCACCGCGGCCCGCGCCTATCTGAGAACTTCCGCAGCTCCTCCGGCACCTCCCGTTCCCGTGCGCAAGCTGCAGAGACCCAAGCCGGCCCACTTTGCGGCGCCACGCAGGACCTCCAACATGAAAAGACCGCGACAAGCCCAAGAGATCGACGTGTCTCCGGAGGCTGTAGACCCCTACGCCGCATCCTTTGCCGCCGCTTGGCCAAACGGTTTCAAGTTCAAGTCATTCCCAAGCGTTTGCTTCTCCTGACAGTACATGCAGTGTCTGGCATCATCAATCACCTGCGAGAGAATAGCGAATGCATGCCAGCTTGTAGGAGTGCAGTGCAGCATGTCAGCATGTCAGCATGTCCGTGACCCTCACCCAATCTCACCATAGTCGCCGTAGCCGAGGAAGTGTCGGAGGTCTCGGAAGGCCTTCTCCTGACCGACCACGACCGAGACCGCCACGGGGGGCTGGAGACGAAGAGCATGGACTCCGGCTACAGTTGGTTCAGCTCTCAGATGTTACAGATGTCTCTTGTTCTGCGGCTGTAGTGAAATTTAAGCCAACTCCAAGCATATTATATGCAGCCAATGTAAATCTTGCTCGGGATTGTATGTGTTTCGGTATAATGCTGTGTATTTGTTTGTTTTTGTCTATGGCTTCTTGGCTTCTGGGCTTTCCTGCCTGGTTTTTCTGACTTGGCTTCTGGGCTTTCCTGCCTGGTTTTTCTGACTTCTTGGCTTCGGAGCTTTCCTTCTTATTCTTAGCTTCTAGGTTTTGCTTCTTGGCTTTCCGGCTTCTTGGGTTCTGGGCTTGTTTGTGCAGTGGTGCCGAATCTCCAAACCCCTTTCGTCGACGTTATTCCATGTCGCGTATCCATTTTTTGCGTTTGGATGCGACGGACATAGGCAGCAGAAGTATCTCATCAATCCAGAGCCAGCTGCGAACAGGCTGTGAAGGAAAAAAAAACACGGGAAATCAACAACAGAGGTGAACACTGTCTATTGCACCTTTTCGGCACGTGCACTAGAGGCCCTGGCAAGAAGGCATTGAGCCCTTAGCATCGATGCTGCGCTCTCTGGAGTTCCAAGTGGAAGCCCTTTTCGAATTGATGGATGCTTCCTGGCGGCGTTTCTGTCGCTGTAATGTATGGAGCATTCCCATCCATTTTCTTATGCAAGGCGCATTCCTTCAAGGAAGAGGCAGATGCCTCCGTTGTTGATGTCATCAACAGGCCATCCGGCGGCTTGACGCAGATCCGGAGCCTTACCACAGATGCCGTGGAAGGAAGCGCGAAGCTCTCCACAACACGTTTGCGGCGTTGAAGGAGGCGCTGTGGTGGACGCGGTGCGCCCGCCCTTTCAGATCGTTCCAGTTGTGGTGCTGTTCAGTCCGCTTCCTGTAGCCGGCTACACAGTCTCAACGGTTCCAGGCATCCGCAGCACCGTTTCCAATGTTAGGCACGGTGGATCCGTAGAATCCGTAGAACATGCCGTCGCTGCCTGCCCCGGAATTGCATCTGGTTGGCATTTAGGAGGCTGTGGTAGTTGTGCAGTGCATTGCTACCTTCATGCAAGGTCTTCTGTCGATGTGGAGGCCGAGACCAGAGAATCCTACAGATGTAAAGAGGGAGTTTGCCGAGATTTGCATGCGAAGCAAGGGTTGCTGGAGGCAAAGCCGAAGAAGAGGAAGAGGATGCCGCAGCCGGACGAGCCAGATTGTGGTCAGCCGGGCCTTCTGTTGGTTGGCGGCCCAGATGCCGCTGCAAAATTGTTTGTTCACCAAGTTCACGAAGCTGTGCAGGCGGCTCCGAAGACGGAGGGCAAGTCGCATCAGCCTGACCTTTCCGCACTTTGTGGGGGCTCGGAGTCTTGTGGAACTTGCAGCCCAGGCATCGTGTTTTGTTGACGCATCCGTGCCTCTCTCAGCTGTATCGGAGCATCGAACCACCGTCCAAAGCTGGCAGCATGTGCGAGGTCGGTCTGCTCAATTGCAGCTGTAGCATACCGGCTCAAACCAGCGGCAGATCAAGAGATGTTGACAGTGTCAAACGACACAATCGTTCAGACCTTCCTGCGGATGGCATCCTCGCTGCCCTCTGGGAGCTATGTTTCTGATTCCTTTGTTGGGCTGAGTTCTGGGTAGATGCGGCCCTTTCGGCGGACTCCGGACTCACCGGCTCCAGATGCGTCCAAAATCACAGCGCCGCTTTCTCCGTGTGTCCAGTGTCCCAGTAGGCACCCAGCTTTGAATTGCTTTGCGCGCGACATTGCAGGTGCATCATGCGAAGCCATATCTGTTCAGGCGAGACACTGGCAACCTTCAAGTTCTGACAGAGCTGGATTTCTGCAGTTTCGTGGACACCTTTCGGTAACGCTTGGCTTAACGCTGGCTTAGCCATGGGCCGCCGCCATACAGTTCTACTGCAGAGCAGCGGTCGTGCGCTGGGCCTAGGGGATGCCGGGCTGCAAGAACGACGGGTAAACAAAGACGTCGTAACACTCTGGCACTCGTACACTTCGACCTTGTCTGCTCCGATATTTTCTTCCAGGGCTTACGGTTCATCCACCATCAACTCATGAACAGGACATCATTGCTTTTGGGTGCAAATTGAAATTTGGCCACCACCAGTCATTCTGGTTGCTTGCTGTTCAGGTTGGCCAAGCATCGCTCCATTCATGCTTGAACTTTGAGATATTTGGGCAAGGACTGTTTTTTGGATTCATGCGGGCTTAGGTGTCTCCTTTCAGGGTTGAAGGTTAAAGAACACTTGATGGCCGTCTAGGATTGAACCTCAACCCAATTGAAAGGAGGTGCAGAGACTACCCAGCTGCCCTGGTCCTCACCTGCCCCTAAACCTGAAGCTGTAACTCCGACTCCCAATCTGCAATGCTGCTTAAGCATTGCGACATGCGCATCGCGTCTCTTGTTGGGTTGCAGTTTCCCCACCATTCGTGTTGGAGGCCCTTTCACCACCATGATCCGCCATCACTCTTCTGCCTTCGGTCGTTCCCGTGCGATTGGGCACCATATGGGGCAGGGACTTGGGCTTTATGCTGCCAAGGGGAGGAGAACGATGAAAGCGGGATGAAGGTCAATGTTCTCGCTGGGTGAAGGTACATGTATGGGAGAGTTGAGGAGTGCTGGTGCGTTGTCAATTTGCCATATCGAAGGGCTTTTTTTCAGAAATGTTCGATGGTTTGTGGTGGCCTCCGCGAACGAGGATGCCTCAGATATAACAATGTGAATCCAGTTCGTGTTTATGAATTCGCGCAGTTCTAAGATTTCTGTAAGCCTGTAAGCCTTCTATGGCTCTGCTCGCATAACCTTGCGGTTGATTCTGGACGTCAAGGCAAACAAGCACGGACAGTGCAACATCCCAGAGATCCCCAGCAACCTGGAGTATGTACAGGCCACCTGGACATGCATGTAGCGCATGTCTTTTGCAGGCAAGTTTTTGTAAAGACAAGTCTTGAGCAGGTCGCGACAGGCACGGCACACAGTGTCCTTTTACGGAGCGATGGACATGTTGTGGCCTGCGGCGACAACAGGGTCTCTCTGCCATGAATTTGGTGCTTGTGATGGAACCAGATGAACCCGCTCTTGCTTTGAAGAGTGTTGGGCAGTAAGGCTGGCCAGTGCGATGTTCCGAGTCTCAATGACGGTTGTCAGCTTCTTGGCCAAATTTGAGACAGACACCTCCGGCACATGGCAATCTCCCGTCGACTTGAGGTATGTGCAGGTTTCCGCTGCCGGGAATCGCACCTTGCTCTTGCGCAGCGATGGCAAGGCCTTAGCAATTGGAGATACTTTTCCTCCTCTCGCAGAAGCCAAGCTGCACTAAAAGCTCGCAGTCGCCTTGTTCCGAGAGCACCGCCAGCCCGAGGACTTTCCGGAGTTAGAGGGTGACAGGAAGTTCGTCCAAGTAGAAACAGGCCGATTCCTTGCAGCCATACTTTCCACGTTGCTCTGTGACGGGGTGCAGGCCTGTTTCACATGGTCTTGCTTACCAATGACGGCCAAATGTTTGTGCCCCTAGCTTGCACTTTGCATCCTCGGAATGTCATAGTGAACCATTTGCTGTCAATTTCAGACCGCTGAGGAGAGCAGACAACGAAGTTCACGAGCTGAATATCCCAGACCTGCACGACAACCAGAGGCCTGTCATCGCGTCCTAGGAAGTCGAAGTCCAGTGCCATTATTGTGGTGAATGCTGGGCTGTCTTGCAATGTGTGTTTGACAAGGTACGTCCAGGTATCGGCTGGTGATTTCCACGTGGTGTGGCTACTCAGCGATGGCACTGTGGTGGCTGCAGGAGACAACCGTTATGGCCAGTGCTGGCCCAAGCAAGTTCTCAGACACAGGGCCAACATGTGCTCTTTAAGGCTGCAGCCCCACACTTGCCTACCTTGCCAAGGTGTAGCATTCCTTCTCCTGGGGATCTGGAGTACACTAAGGCCACTCGTGCTGCAGTTGAAATAGCCTAACATGATCGGCGCAATTCGCTAAGACCCGGAGTGGTCCTCCAGCATGTCCAGTGGAAGCAGAGTCTGAAAAAGGGCATTTCACAAGGGTCTTCTCGTCCCTCGCGGGTCTGCATATATTGACCTGCACCAAGATTTGAGGGTCTATTCTGGAGCACGCAGTGGGGGCCAACTCGCTGCAGGTTTCGGCTGGAGGACTTCACACGGCAATGCTGTGCAGTGATGGACGAGTGCTGACCGTCGGGAACAACCGGTGCGCTGCCGATAATCAGTCGGTCTGAGTGTGACCACAGCGTTGTTTCCTACTCCAGCCAGTGGCAGGTGCGGACAGTGCGATGTCCCTGATCTGCCAGCAGGTCTCAGATATGAGATTCGGCTTAAAGGCTTAAGGATCCCCCATCTGGTAGGCATGCCCCCGCCCTAGTAAATGCATGGTCGGCAGCCAAGGAAGACATTTCGGCCGGCGACCTCCACACGGTTTCTGGCCATGTTTATCATGCTAGATGACATAAGCTTCCGTGAGGTTTTTGGGACAGTAACCTCCAAATCCTCAAGAGCCCGTCAGATCCCAGAAGGCCCCCCCCCCCCCAGAAACCCCCAGGTTCTGCTGCGCAGCGATGGCCAGGTGGTGGCCTTCGGCGATGATCACTGGGGTCAATGCCAGGTGCCGGAACTCGAGGCCTGGGCAAGAGCCGGGCCGTCTTTTCCCCTTCGGAACCCTCGGGGTTTGGGAGGATCTTTGGTGTTTTTCTCGGTCTGTTTATTCACATAGTTATAGGGTTTTTCGTTTCTTGTCTGGCTTTTTCATATGCTTGGATGATCATGCATGCGCAAAATTGTTGGATTTTAGTTTTTTTTGCACGTTTCTGGAATTCGGATGAAGCGCTACAGGTCGGCGGATTTCGGGTTCAGGGCCTTCCTCCTGGGCTTCCGTTCTGGCAGGCAGGCGAGGTCTACGTTCCCAGCTGGCCGGGCGATCACTCGCCCATCGTGGTCCAGCTCGTGGCTCTGCACATACTGACTTCGACTTTGGCTCTCAGAAGGGGTGGGGCTGGGCTGTCGGGCCGTCGGGCCGTCGGTCTCTGAGGTACCGAGTGATGCAGACCACAAGCACTGGAAATGCTTCAGCCTTGCTGGGCGAGCCGTGCTGAGTGACTCGGCCGGAAAGCGAACGGTGGGTTTAGGGCTCCTGCGTGGTCCCATCCATGTTCGGGTGCGATGCCTGCTGACAGTGACATGTACTCGTAATTGCAAGGCTTTGCAGTGTCCGAGCTGTGTGTGGAGGCCGGAATGCATGCATGCAGAGCTCGTCAGAAGTTCTTGGCTGATTTGGCCGTGTCGACATGAACTGTTTTCTCAGCTGTCTTTCTGCGTCGCGGCGGTCCTGCAGGAGTTTTGGACACGCCTGACGGAGCAGTTCCATGCACCGAAGTGGAAACTTCAGGTGCGGCTGTGACTCTGTGCTCGTGATCGCCCCTCGACAGCCACGACACCATACCTCCTGTTTGCAAAAACTTAGATACGTATGTATAGATAATTGCAATTTATCAAAATAAGTATTAAAGTTTATTAAAGCAGGATAATATACTATAAGACAATATAATACAGTATAACAGAACAGAATGAAATTAGAACCTAGGATAATCTGACAGAATTCAGACAATAGAATTTGAATAGAAAATGCTTTAATATCATGTAATAGAGTAGAATAGAATATGACTGAATATTATATAATGTTGCACTAGGACATTCCACCATGACGGAGTATTCTTCATCTATGGTAGGCTACTGTAGCCTGTTGCTGTTCTGAGTCGCAGGTGGTTCTGTCGAACGGTGAGCTCCTCTGCGACAGCAAGCTTCATCAACTCTGCCCGGCGTACCGGGCCTTGGGCGCTTAGGCCCAGGCCAAGACACGCAGAGCACAAAAAGAGCCTGCAAAGGTAGGATTTGCTGTTGTTTGAAGTTCGTCGTTTCCTGGCGCTTCCGGAGCGTCAGTTTTCTGCTTGGGTTACGTTCCTGAGGCAGCATGAAATCTTTCTTTGCTGTTCCCAGATCGAGCCTACCTATGCATCCAACAGTTAGAGGGACACTTTCTGGCTAAGATCCTAGCATTACAGATTTGCTGCATGAGAGGCAAAGTGGCTCCTCTCACTGGTATCCCGCCCCCATCTCCGAAGAAGCCAACATGTACTGATCATATGGTCACTCGCAAGACTATCGCTGGTCTATTGTTCCATGTTGGAGGTGGGTGGCTGAGGAGTTATCTACGTGTTGTCAACCAAAGCTCAGGAGCGTTCTGCTACACGTGGGTTGGGCAAGAGTCACCAGTCAGTTGAGTTGTTGGACAGCTACTCCAACGGTCGCGAATGCCCTTCCCACGCTTGGTTGCCAAATTGCTACGCACGTGTGTGCTTACAAAGGCGTTCCCCAGATTTCAAGCAGACGAATGAAGAGTCGAGAGGCCTTGATACCTCGTGGCGCGGAAGAGCGCCGGACAAAGAATCGGTCTAGCTCTTCCATTGCTTGGACACGACAGACGGGAATCCTGCGCCGCTTGCGCGATGGCAGACCCAATGTCCTTTCGTATAGAGAGAGTTCCATGTCTAGATGTGTTTCGCTTTACGGTTTAACTCTGTCGTTCCTGTGATAGTCTCATCAGAGGCAAGTCTATGTCTAATCAGTCACGAAGTTTCGCAAAACAGGAATGCAGGAGGCACAGCCGACAGCTGGGCCATGCCACCAGTTCCTTTGCATGAGGTGTGCTGCAGTTGGCAGCGTAACTGACCTCCTTTGCAGAAGGCACCTGTTTATCAGCCTGTGAAGCCGAAGTCCTTGCTGCAGCATTCGACGATGTGAAATGCTGAGAGTTTGATTCTAATCGAGATTATATATATGTGTGTGTATACATGTATATATGTATACATATATATATAAATATATATATATATATATATGTGTGTGTATACATATATATATATATATATGGGTACCCCCCTATATGGGGTCCCCTGGGTTTTTGCACACCTAAACCATTAAACCATTAAACCAATCCTTTCCCCCAATGGACCCAAACCAATAAACCATTAAACCATTAGACCAATCCTTTCCCCCAATGGACCCAAACCAATAAGCCATTAAACCATTCAACCAATCCTTTCCCCCAATGGACCCAAACCAATAAACCATTAAACCATTAAACCAATCCTTTCCCCCAGTGGACCCAAACCAATAAGCCATTAAACCATTAAACCAATCCTTTCCCCCAGTGGACCCAAACCAATAAACCATTAAACCATTAAACCAATCCTTTTGCCCCATACCACTAAACCATTAAACCATTAAACCATTAAACCGATCATTTGCCCCTATAGAGAGAGACACACAACCCTGTATGGGCCGAAAGCATTGGTTTAATGGTTTAATGGTTTAGTGGTTTAGGTGCATTGGGGGAAAGGATTGGTCTAATGGTTTAATGGTTTAGTGGTTTAGTGGTATGGGGTAAGGGGATTGGTTTAATGGTTTAATGGTTTAGTGGTATGGGGCAAAAGGATTGGTTTAATGGTTTAATGGTTTATTGGTTTGGGTCCATTGGGGCAAAGGATTTGTTTAATAGTGTACTAATTTAACGGTTTGTTAATGGTTTAATGGTTTAGTGATGGGTCTAGGGCTGCCTACTACACAGGTGTCCTGGTTATAACCGGGGACAGAGGTTATAACCAGGCCTGTGCCACCGCTACAGTACTTCATCCACACCTAAATCCAAACGTTCGAACGTTTCGGTGTTTCAGGGTGAATGTAACCGCAATGAAATTAAACAAGGACTAGAAGAATAGAGGGTCCGAGGTAATTGGCTGTGTTCGGTTGTTGAGGCATGATGCAGTGCTTTGTAACAAACATAGTTCCGGGGACCATATGCGCATTCCCCAACTTTAGCGGAAAGGCTATATGGCGGACTTTACACAATGGTCTGTCCGTTCCAGTACATCGGGTTTATGAGATCTACGTACACATTGAGAGAATAGCCGCTAACATGTCACTCACGCAGGAATCAAAATGCGGAATATGAAGGGGCTCTATCGCGATTACAGTAGGTCAGTAAGTGTTGTCAACAATGGAATATCACGGTACACAGAAAGTTGAGATACGGCTGATACGACGTCATTGTAGGGAGAGAGAGTATTTCAATTTTTACAGCGTGGTCAGGTTTCATCACTTCGTACAAAGGCGAACTGGTTGCAACGTTATGTTCAAACATCGTTCCAAGGAAGCCGGAATTCGACGAGACAAAACTGATAAGAATATGTGTGGTGAGCGAAACAAAATTTGCGACTTAAACTGTCAGGTTTCCTCACTGTTAGGTTTCCTCGCTCGGTACGTAGAAAATTCCTCGCAATGATATTTCCAACTACATGGATGAACCTCTTTCGAGGACTGATTCGGTGTGTGTGTACCATTTTTTCTAACACGAGGATCACGTTCTGGACTTTATGCGACTTGCAGTAAATATTCACAAGAACACAAACAGAAATTCGGACAAGCTAGATGTAGCCTTATGGTTTTCAGTCGGCTTTACGTGATGGTGAAGGTGTGCTGATACAAGAAGCACAGGCTTCATCACTCAGCATATAGAAACAGTGCCAAGCCTAAGAAGCGACGCTTCATGTCGTCCCCCAGGAAAAAAATTTACAACGTTTGCTAAGCTTGTAATATGCAAGTTTTCAATTTTGGCTTGGGGCAGCCGTCATACAGAATTAAGGAGTGCACCACTCAAATATACCTACCGGATATACCAGCGTTTAAAAGCAATCACATGGGGGCACAGGGATATGTCATTGAAAGCTATCAGTTTGCCAAAACGTCATAGCAATGGGTCCAACAACAGAGACTTTGGTGGGATTGCCGCATTACAGTACAAAGATGGAAACTTTTCGTTGCAAAATCTAGTTCGCGATAAGGAATGACTGAACCAGACTAATGACTACAGCGCTCTTGTTGGAAAAAACTGAGATACAGCCGTTTAGATAAGGTCACACAAACATGAACTACGAAGATATATCGACGGCTTCAAAGCAAGGATTTTAGCACACTGTAACAGGGTTTCGACGAAGGTGTCATAGAATTCTTAGCGTTGTGCGGGTTTCAGCATTCTGAAAACATGGTCTTCAAACCGGATATAATACTGTAGTCGATGACGTACACCTGATTATAACCTAGTCGGCTGGTTATAACCTAGTCTGGTGGTTATAACCGAGTCAGGTGGTATAGCGAAAAACGTAGGGGACCCCAAATAGGGGTGCGCCCATATATATATATATAATATATATATATATATATATTTATGTATGTATGTATACAGATACAAATATATTGGCATATATGCATACATATATGTACATATGTATGTATATGTATACGTATACATGTTTCTTGCAGGTACATTTTAATCTCTCGATGACGTTGGGATACGGCTTCGGGCTTGGACGGTGCTACAGGGCTTCCTTCATGCCGGACATGGCATGCGATGTAGATTATATTGTGTCCTGTCTTGCCACTCTTCAGATTTTCCTGGTGTTACCACGGGTTGAATCTGAGAGCCAGGCATTGACTAGCCAGTGCTACCAGCACGGATCGCTACAGCAGGTCGGTCATACTTCCCTGCTGCCTGTCTTATGCTGTGTACAGAAGTCTACAGGCTTCCACCAAGTTCCATAGGGACACTTCCAAGTGTGCACGGAAGCATCATGGCCACAGAAACTATAGCAGCAGTACACGCAAAGAGAAGCTTTTGCAGAAGGCCATGGTGTTGTTCCGCTGTTAGCAGGGGCGTGGACCCCACTCTTGGAAATCTATGACAGGACAGCCCTTTTCCAGACTCCCGGCAGGCAAGCCCAAAGGACACCATCAAGATTTGAAAGGCCTGAAGAACGAGGTTTGCGTCCGGGGGTCAGTTTCCGCCGGGTCTTTATTGGACAAGTTTCCGCCCAAGCCGCCTGAAGCATTGGAGCGTCCAAAGTAAAAGCTTCCAGTGCTACTGTTCTTCTGATTCAGCTTGCAAGCGCTCATTGTCAACTCACCCATCAAGCCCCGAAACTCAAACCAAGAACTTCAATTGCAACTGTTGTAACTCCAGTCCTACACCCTAAGCCCTAAACCCTGAAGCCCAAACCCAAAGCCCGAGCGTTGCAGTGATTTCATAGCCCAGGCTCCGACACAGGGACCTGCTTCTTTCGAGGCCTGCACGGGAATCAAAACTTGCAGTATGGATGTGCATATTCAGCGGTACTATTCTGTAGTAGTTCTTTTTCAAAATCGACAACAGCATATATATATATATATATGTATGTATGTATATGTATATGTATATGTATATGTATATGTATATGTATATGTATATGTATATGTATATGTATATGTATATGTATATGTATATGTATATGTATATGTATATGTATATGTATATGTATATGTATATGTATTTATATATATATATATATAAGCAGAGGACTCTTGCGGTGTGTGCATTGCGCGCATTTCAGTACCTGTCACAATCGGCTACAGTGTATAAACTAGTTTATAGTAGTATATAGCAGCATAGACTAGTTGTTTGTAGTATGACTCTCAGTAGTGTATATTAGTGCATAGTAGTATATGTAGCACATAATAGCATTCAGTGGATTAGTGTAGTATATCGTAGTTCATATTACACAAGATATAATTGAATGCGAGGGTTCATGTTTGTATCGGGTAGTACAGAGTAGTATGTAATGTTCGTGCAGTAGTCTTCGAGAGTTTCATCGTGGATACTGTTTTGATGCTGTGATGAAGTGTAGAAGCGAAGCTGACATCATCGACTCATATACAAAATCCTAAACCCGAAGCCTAACACCCCAAAGCTTAAGCCCTTAAGCCCTAAACGCTTCAAGCCCGAACCCTAAACAACCCGAAGAGCTTTTTGGCATTGCACTGGGCAGGCTCCGGATCTCCGAAGCCAGTTGCCAAGATCTGGATTCTCGTTTGGGGCTGGTGGCGGGCTCAGAGGCTAGTTTCGGCATTACCAGTCGGAAGCATCATTGGGATGATTGCTTCGAGTATTCTTGGGTTGCTATTATTGCTATCATTGCTCTTGTTCTAACTACTGTTATATCTCATTGCTGTTCGTCTGGTTTAGGGCTCTGTGTTCAGACGTTGCGTCGAAGCCCCAAGGTTGCAAAATCCGTTTGCCTGGCACTGGGCGTGAAGATGGATGGCCAGCCAGCTGCCAGGCTGGTGACAAGAGCCCAGCTTTCGGATGTTGGCATCGCTTCGTGTTCCACGCCTTCGAGACCGGCTGCCAAGCTGCTGCTCCAGCTTCTACGGGTCTGTCGTGCGCACGGCCTGAGGCATGGGGGCTCTGTCTCAACACGTTTAGTTTTGTGCCCGGCCCGCCGGCTGTTGGCAGGTATCCCCGAGGATTGCCACGCAAAGAGGTGCAACGGAATTACATGCGGGATGCTTGTTCGTTGCGGTTTGACCGAGGACGAACCTCTCGTCTTTCTGAAGTGGAAGACGAGAAGCGTGCAGACCGACGAGGCAAGACCAACAGTGGACTGCCGAACGTCGAAGTTCTTTCGGACCAGTGCCACAAAGCATTCGACACCCTCGAAACGCCCAGTCATACCACTGAATGGCTCCAGCTTGAGTTCACAACTTAGTGACAAGTGGGAGGTGTTTGCTCAGTGCGTGGACGCGGGTCCACGTCCGAGGAGACTCTGCCATAGACTCAGCCAGTGACCGGCAGTGAGCTGGTCTTTATGTAACGGGCTATGTGATCTTGTACGAAATACCACTGCGCTTGCGTATATTTGGGGTGAACTTGCAGGCACGCGGAGGTCTTGGCTGGCACAAGCTTGCCTGTTCCTGAGCTCTGGCGTGACAGCAGTATCTTCACGAGAGCACACGTTTTCGCTGAGGCATTTCACTGTTGTGCTTGTTGTCATGCCAAGAGGTGCACGGGGCCGTCAGTACCTGGAAGGATGCTGTCGAGTATCGCTTCCTTGCTGCGAGCAGGTACTTTGCCTTCCAGGTGGTGCCACGGAGGCTGTCCCGCACTCTGATTCCGGACTGGGTGAGATGTTTAAGCCTTGATTGGTTGAAGCCGAGGTCTTGAAATGGAGACAGCATATTCTGGGCTCAGTTCATGCAGCGGTTCAGGCAGCGCAAGTGCAAGATGCGTGGCTCAGCAAGCACCTTCTCTGAGAGCGATTGGAGGAAGCATTGCTCAATGCATTGCAGCGGCTACCCTTTGGAAAGGGCATCATCCGAGAAGTCCCTGTCCCGAAAACTTGAAAAGGTGAAACTGCCCACTACCCCCAAGGGAAGCGCTCCGAGGAGCTGCCGCTCTTTATGGACACTCTGCTGGAGCCGGGACCCCGGGATCTCAGTCAGTCTCCGGTTTTGTTGGCCGCCTCGTGAGCTCGTCTCAGGTTCCGGGCAGAGCTGATCGCTTTGGGTGAGGCTGATGAAGGCAAGAACTTCCCTGTAGATCATTCTGGGGCCCTTATATATCCGGATCCTACTATGTAGGGAATCTAAGGTACTATACTAGGGTCCCCCCTGCAGCGCTGCTTTCTCGAGCAAACGGGCCTTGGGCTGGCAGGGAGTGACCTGGAAGTGGCCCTGCTGCCACAGTTGCAAGCACTGGCCGGCGACTGCCCTTGCTTTTGCCATGTCGTGGCAGGATAAGCAGAATGAAACACGCGTCCTGAACGCCGCTCGGCTTGTGTAGCTCCGGGCCTACAGCATATCTAATCTATCTGTCTATGAAACTATTTATCTATGATCCCCATGTTTCTATCTAGAGTTGCCTACCTACCAGCCTACCTATCCATATGTATATATGTATATATATATATATATATATACATACGTATATATATATATATATATATATATATATATATATATATATATATATATATATATATATATATATATATATATATATATATATTTGTTTATATATATTTATATATATATATATATATATATGTATATACACATACACATATACATATATGTATGGCACGTATATGTATACATACATATTTATATAGGTACGCACACGCACACACATGTATACACACATATGTATATATATATATATATATATATATATATCTGTCTCTCTCTGCGTCTCTCGCTCTCTCTATACCTATCTATCGGAGTTTTTCTATGTACTTAGCTGTAACTTAAACAGTATCGTAGAGTATGATATCGCATGACATGGCATTGTACAGGTGTTGTTATATTGTGTAACGCAGTACTGTGTAGTGCAATATCGCATAGTGAAACGACATTATCCCCTTTGTTCCGTGCTGCTCTGCGCTACCCTGCTATACTATACTATATAATATACTTTTGGATACTCTTCTATATGTTACATAACATTATGTTTTGCTTCAGTCTGTTACAGCGTGTTTTTTCCCAGATTTATGTTGTCATCAGGCATCATCATATATTGAACTTACACTATGTTGCATTATATGTTGCATTATTAACGTGCACTGGTGCTATCCTGCGTATGCTATCTGTGTTTAAATCACACTGTAATGGGTCCTACTGCCCTACCTCATTAGGCACCATTTCTGTGATGTTGTCATCCAATCTAGTTTCATGTGTTCTAGCCTACCCTGTGCTGTTCTACTCTCTTCAGACTCTATTCGATTGTGTGCCGCCTTTAACCTTTGTCTATCATATGGTATTGCATTGTCTTCCATTTGTTCTCCTCTCTTCACTTCTCTTCCGTTCTGTTTCGCAGTCGTGTCCTTTCGATTGCAATAGGTTTTCTAATATCGTGCATACTACCGGGTCTTACATGATGTAGTCGAATTTGGTATGATATGAGAGAATAGAATGAAATATGAACAAAAAGAGGTGCTATTTATAGTATATTACTATACCACATGGAATATAATGCCTTAGAGTTTAATACAATACCATAGCCTGGAACACGATGTTATGTTGTTCGGTATTGTTTGAGCTGCAGTATCGCTGGTTTTAGCACGAGGTAACTGAAACGGAATAAAATCTGTAAGCAGTATGCTTAAACTGTGAAAGCAGTTGGAGTGTAGTCATCACCCCATAGTGTATCATATTGCGTAGTGACGTAGTGCAATATACGATGTTCATATGATATCTGAGTACATTTTGCAGGTCTGGCTATGTTCAGTATATGACATCATGCAACATCTGATCGTATCATATTACATCAGACTCCGTTCTATTCTCTTCTATTGTATTCTGTTCCATTCCATTCCGTTCTATTCTACTCTAGTCTGTTCTGTTCTGTTGCATTCTGCTCTGCTTTATTGGTTTGTACTAACTGATGTATATTCTACGGCAGTATTCCACACCAGCATCCTAGTATGTGTTATTGCATGTTCTTATCTTCCCATTCTGTTTCTGTTCTAGCGGAAGTTCTGCGCTTTGGAACTGTATTGTATTGTGATGCTCTGAGGCCCGGTACTGCCTGAAGAAGACGCAGGCAAAGCCAAAGCAGGCAAAGCAGGCAAAGCAGGCAATGCAGGCAGAGAGCCAAGGCAAAGGAAGGAAGACGAGTGAGGCTCGGGGCGAGTCCAGCGAAGCCGAAGAGGCAGAAGCCATGGAATCATCTGAGACATGACAGAGAAGGATGTGGACCACAGGAAGAGCGGATCTCGAACGATATGGACTCCATCATCTCCGTTTGAGGAGCAAAAGGACGTGAAGGTGCGGCGAGGGCGGAAGAGCAGACCTGAGGAGCTTTGCTGAGCGCGAAAGCGGCCCGCTCCCGAGCTCCCGAGCTCTCGAGCTCCCGGGTCCCCGGCCCGGCTTCGACCCTCTTCCGATGGCCCTGCCGTGACTCGCAGACACGCGCCGTTTCCTGCTGCACCCTGCGGGGCAAAATGCTCGAGAGCCTGCGCTTTGCCACACAGGAGCCCAGAGGTGTCCCCCAACCTTTGAGCCCATCGCAGGCGACAGTCCGAACGGCCGGTTTCCACCTCCGCACCCCCCAGGCCGGGCGGAAAGTAGAAAAGTAGCAGGGACTGAGCGTGTGAGGCCGTAGCTTCCAGGTCCTCCATGCAGCCTTGGGCCGAAGCGGAGGCACCAGGCCTGGGCCTGGAAGCCCGGTTTGCCATCCAAGCAGCATAGCGGCATAGCGGCGACATGGACAGGACTGGACCCAGATAGCAGTGGACTCACAGAGCTCGAGGACGGCCTTGGCATGTCTTGAATGCACAGAGAAGGGTTCTTGTTTTTCGAGGTGGTCAGCAGGCGCATTTTTTTTGCTGTTGGTGCTGTTCTGCTGTCGCGCTCTGCAGCGGAGGTCCCGGCAAACCTGCAAGCGAGTGAACGGCCAGTTGGGGCCACAACTCCAAGAACCAAACACCCTCATATAACCGGCAAAAAAGGAATCCCTCCGCAGCAACAACAAAAAAGCAACACGCCCCCTGCCTCTGCGCACATAAACATCTCCGTGGTAACGACACTTGTTTTGTTGTTCTGCTTTGCAGCTGAAGCCCCGGCAAGCCAGCAAGTGAGTGAACGGCCAGCCGAGGCACCGGCGGAATCACCAGAAAAAAAAGGCACCCTCCAAACAGCAGCAACAGCAAAACACCCCCCCTACCCACCCACAGCACCAACAGCTAAAAAGCACAGACCCCCCGGCACCAACGGAAAGAAGGCACAAAAACACTTCCCCGTGCAACAGCGGAACCAACGACACCCCCTTCCGCAGCAGCGCAGCAAGAAACGCAACCCCCCGGCAACCAAGGGAACACAGAGGGCGATGTGAAATCTGTAACCGCGCGACATGTCACGAAGAATAAGAATTTGATCCTTGGGGACAGGTGACGCCTGCGCCTGTTGCAACACGGAGGAAAACAGGCTTCCAGAAAATCAAGAGTGAATAGCTGTCGCAGCACATCAAACCGGCAGAAAATGAACAAAGGCGCTTGACTGCACGCACTACTCATTATGAAAGTGACCATTCAGTCCGACTCCACGTCGTTGCAGTTCATCTGTGCGGCTTTTGACAGCGACTGGTTCGTGCGCGCCAGGTGCTCCAATCACAGCTGGCGAAGCGCATCTCGGTCGTTGTGGACCCGACATTCCGCCCCGGCATTGTTGCCTTGCGACGCGAGCGTTTTTTCAATGTCCCATCTCGCATGGATTTGTCAGGAGAACGGATCCGTGAATACCGACAAGTTCAAGCCGAAGGCACACAGCTTGAGTGTAAGTCTGCACACAGAGGCAGGGCAGACGCGGATCTGCACAGGCTGTGCCGGCTTCGGCGACTTTGGCCCAGACCCAGGAGGGCGCCAGTGGCCGAGAAGATGCCGCCGAGTTCCGGAAACACCAAGCCCCATTCCGCCCAGATGACAATTGCCTGGCCCGTGGTGCCTCCTATACCAGAAGGCACGACTCGCGCGGCAGTTCTGCAGGATCTGTCGTTTGCGTGCCGTCATAATTACACGTCAGACTACGGACGCGACGACGCGATACGAGTGCGACGACGACCCAGCAGGCAAAAAACAACGAAATGTCCCTTTTCGATACTCGACTGAACCGCAGGCGAGGAGGACCAGTTGAAGCGAGACTTTCAGCTGCAAAGGCCGGGTGAGTGCATGCCGAATATGTGTGATACTAGGCACTTTGACTCAGATAGCATGAGCTGGAGTTTCTTCAGTCCCTTCAACTGTGCGCCTTAAATACTGGGATACTAAAAGTACTCCTAGCTGAGAGCTCATGCCAGGATTCTGAGAAGGACACCAAAAACAGCTTCGCATGTGATGGTCGATTGAATAACAATAAGAGCCACGACAGGCATACTACATGCGAGGACACCTTTCACCAGGACCACCACCGCCAAATGAATCCTCAGCATTCATGAGTAGGATCTCGCAACCGCCACAAAAAGAATGTGCGACCGAACCCGACACCTTAAAGCCTCAAGCCTAAACCCCAAAAGCCTAAGCCCCAATCCCTGAGCCCTAAACTCCCAAACCCTAAGCCCTGAAGCCCTCACGCAAAAAACCTTGCAGGTCACCGGCCAGACCAGCGAGCTGGCTCCGAGAGTTGCAGGTTGGAGGATACTATAGGAGCAACGTGTAGAGGGTGCGGATTTAACTGTAGGTTAACGTACTAGGGATCCATAATAAAGGGTTTCCTTTCTATGTTAACTCCAGTTAAGCTCCTTGACAAGAACCCGGTTCAAAGGGTGATGTTCTTTGCAGCAGGAGTTTCAGGAATGAGGATCCCATCTCAGGTGGATATTGTTAAGGATCCGATTTGGGTGAGTTTTCATCTCAGGTCAACAAGATTTTGCCGCGGGGTTTGATAGTCAGGGTTCATGGAGGTGTTGCCTGGGGATCCGATACTTTAGGTTCTTTATAAGGATCCCATTGGAGGGGTTCTTGGGGAAGCATCTCCTCATTACATTGGAGGATTTTGTATTTAGGTTCCTATGATTTACGGGCGTTGTCTACTAGTTCCATATAAGGATCCTGAATTTACAGGGTTTTTAAGCCTCTGAATCTTTGGCTCCTCTCGGAGGCCTCCTGGGCCGCCGGGGCCGCGGCTGCCCGCGCAGAGCGCGAGCACACGGAGCCGGCGCCATCGTGGCCGCCGACCCTGCCGGAGTCCCGGCCGCCCGAGAAGCCGACGTCACAGGCCATGTTGCGCACTTCGACAAGATGGGCGGAGGGATGGGGAGGGTCTTCGCGGTAAGTGAAAGGTTCTCTGCCTTTGCAAAGCTTGGCTCGGAGCACTGACGGCGGTGCAGGTGCAGATCGCCGAGCCCGTCACGACAAAGGACGCAGGTGAAAGCGAAACAGTTTGAGAAGGGCGGATCTCGGTGTCGGTGGCATCGTGCCAGGACTTGTGCCTCTTGTGCTGACACCGACCTACTTTCATTTCAGGCAAGTGCTTCACCTTCTGACTTCTGCGCTTTTTTGGACTTGGCCAACTTGCGTGCAGGAGCGATACCTGAAAGGACTTCCTGTCGTTTCAAGCGCCGGGCGAACAACGCGGCAGCTTGAACCCGATGCGGTGGTCAATGTTTGTGTACATGCAACATGAAGCTGAAGCCCCGGGCAAAGCCTGAGAGCTTTTGAAAGACTCTTCTGCATCAGCTTCGGATAACCCCGTGCACTCGCAAGCTAGCAACTAAACAGGATATGTGAACTGTGCACATCCAGGTGGGAACATGTAAGCATTGTGCAGGTTTGCTGACGACTACTCGTTCATTGCCGCAGATGCCCAGAAGTGTCTGCAAGTGCCAATGACCTCTGCCGCCATCTGCCTGTGTCGGTGCGGAAAGACGGACCGCCAGCATACGTTTGGGCCATGTCGTCGTCGTCGTCGTCAATGTCCAGTCTTGTGCGAATCTCACATGGCAACATCTGGCAACTTGCAGGTGAATGAATCAAGCCCTCGCTGGATGGCACAGTCTTGCGCTTGTGTCTCTGGACCGTCGGCACGACTACGTGCTTCTGCAGAGCAATAAAGCAGTGAACATGTTCCGACAGAAGTTGGCTCACATTCCGTGAGTTCTTCCTTTCGCAGCGAATCAGGGGAGTTGAGCTTAGTCGTCATGGGTGGGTCGCAGCACTCCTAGCCAATTAAATTTGCAATTGAATTCGAGCCCTTACCAACAGTAACCACGAGCGTCGCAGGTCAAGGTTGTGCGTTGTGCTGGTATTGTTACTCAAAGACCGCACGCATCATGAGATCACACAGGAAAGCTGGCAGAACGACCATTTACGCAGGTAGTCTGTTGTCTTGTGCTTGTTTGGACCGGCTGCCCTCAACTGATTAACTGATTGAGAGAGTCCACCTGCACATAAAAACATGTTTTTGAATTTCTTGCAACAGCTCCTCTTTGGGGGATTTTCAGGCTCAAGGCTAGAGAGCGTAGTCGAACATCCATCGCCAGGGTGGTCTGTGACTTGGCTCGAAGAGCTGCAGGTGTGGATGTGGGGTTTCAGATAGTTGCGGATTTGTTTTTCCGGGAAACTGGTAGCAAGGATCGCTGAGTAGAGTCCGACTTTCACACTTGCCCGTCATCTGAGGCTCCGTTTTTTACATCCGCAAGCGACGCTCAATCCGCCACTCGTCGGTTGTTTAAGGGTTTAGAGAGTCAAAGGGTCTGGGGGTCTTTAAAAGGAATCTGAAGCTTTCGTTGATGATACTGGTCCTGCTTTTGGGAGCTTTGCAAAAAAGGATGCTCGAATTCAGGATTGCGGATTGGGGCCGCTTGTTTTCTTGACCAGCGGGGGCAGACGAGGTCGAACTCATCCTCTAATTTGTGAGTCGATTCGCCCGGCTCTCAGGAAGAAAACGATCAAGAGATGCTTGGAGCTGTGACCCTTAACCCCGAACCCTGGACCTGCGAAGTTTGAACCCTCAACCCTAGACCTTTCTTCTTGCCGAGGTCTTAAAGAGCATGCGCTTGTTCGGTGTTCCGAAACGTGAGGCTCGGAGTCTGCCGGATTTCAAGGAAACTCCCCGGGAGCTGAGCCTTTTTTGGTCAGGAAAGTGAGCCCGTGGAGGCGGAGGCGCCACAGCTCGACTCCGCGAGATCTGTTGGTTCAGGCGGGGAGCTAAGGGCCCCCAAAGAAACGGCCCTAGCTAAGGGGGCCCTAGGGAGTTCTTCAACTCTGCAGGCTCCTGCTGTCTTCAGAGCCTCTTTGCTTTGTGAGGTGAGTCTCCTGCTCAGTCATCGAAGAACAGCGACAATGCATCCTTTGGCCAGATGAAGTTGGTGATCAAGAACACGTTTATAGGCCAGGTGTTCAGGGTCCAGGCTGTTCTGGGAAGCCGCTGCAACTGTCGGCGCTTGCCGCTGCAGGGGGCTACGAGGAAGATCCGGAGGATGACCCACCACGAACACTCGCACGGTCCGCAAGCGACAGCACCTCTGCTACAAAATGCTACAAGCCGGTGAGAGGAAGGAGCAGCCTTGTGCTTGCGCAATCAGCCTTTGACCTATCTTCCAGTTCTCAGGCAAACTCGACTGCACCTCAAGTGCAAGCTCCGTGCTTTTCTGGTATCCACAGCAACCTGTTCGCACTCGGGTTCTGCGTCTTGCATGCTGGAGGGGATCGCACTATGAATGCGCTCACCCAAGGCGAAAGGACTCCATGAGCCGCTCCAATTCCAGCTGCTTGGCATGGTCTCGGGCACAACTCGAGGGGAGTGCTCGAAAGCTCTGCAGTTCCCAACGGGCTTTGTCAAGCCGGATGTGTGGCTTCTTGCAGTTCAGGTAGCAAGTAGCGGTCTGTAGTCGTGAGCTCCTGACGCTGCCAGGTGTCATGTCCAGAAGTGACGCAGAGGATATTGAGGATAGCCATCTCATTGAGCACGGCCCAGCTGGGCCCTATCACATGGCCCCTTGGCAGCAGCCCTGACTCTTAACCCCTGCCCTAGACCCTAATCATCATCATCATCCCGAACCCGCACGACTTGCTTCGAGGTGTACGGCAGAAGCAGGGCGACAGAGGCCAAGCAAGCCGAGACAGTCGCGGTGTTTTCGGCAGCTGGCTTTGGCATGAGCAGTTATGGAGGTTTCAAAGACCCCAAATACTGTAGCAGGATGCATCTCACAAGGATACCTCACTATGCAACTCATACGTATCAAGACAGAAGCCCTGCTCCCTGCCCACCTGGCGAAAAAATTGCATGCACTACTGTCTCCTCTTCGTCTCCATATAACAATGCCGATTCCAGAATAGATCCCCAAACCCCAAGTCCCTACAGGCCCCATGATTCTGTGAGTGCAGGGATCACGACAGAGCGTGCGGCCTCCCCAGGCGGCTTGGCGATCCAAGGTTTACGTGGGCTTCTGCCTTATCCAAAACTCCACTGTTGAGAGTCTTGCGGGGATTGACTCTGGACCACTTCCCTGCCATGCTCACGACTGCGGGTTCAACTTCGCATTGAAGCATCGTCTCACGAAGATGATGCACGACAACGAGTGGTTCAGTTGCTGTATGTTTGGTTCCCTTCGTCCCAGTTCGAGACGTGGAACCCCTGGGTAGGACTGCTAGATCTTCTGCAAAGCTTTCATCGCACTTCGGCGACTTCGGTGTTCAGACTCTTTTGTTTGAGTGGGCACGGCAAGAATGATATGCCCAGTCCCCGCGCATGCCTGAGGGGCCAGCCGTGCGATCGAAAGTTGCAGAGATGGAATGTTGTCTAAGCTCAGCAGACCGACAGGCTCCCGTGTTCCAGGGCTTGCCAGAGACGAGAGATTTTGGAATGGGTGGGTGGGTGGGGGGCAAAACATGCTAGCCGGAAGCCTAAACCCTAAACCCGAGACATCCATAAACCCTACAGGGCCATGCTTGACACTCTTTGAAAGTAACTCCTTCAGTTGTCTGAGGATTTTCTTCGGCATCGGTCGTGACCTGGCTTTGTCCATCCGTGTTCTGAGAGTTGGTCCCGAGTCAGATGCCATCCCCAGGTTCTCTGGAACAGAGGTGGCCTCGGACATGCTTCTTGCTTGCAGTTTAGGGTTTAGGGCTTAGGCGATTCTGATGAGTCGGGATCCTCCTGAACAAAACCCCTAAAACCCGAAATCTTGAATCCTTGAGGTGTAGGCTACCGAAGCTGCAAGCCTCTGTTTTCTCACAAGGCCGAACCATGTTCCTGCACCAGATGACTTGAGAGTTCTCTTGGCCCGCATTGGTTGAGGGTTTCGGGGTTTGAGGGGCTTAGGGCTTAGATTTTAGGGCTTAGTGGCTTTTAAGGCTTTTCGGGATCCGGAGGGTTTTTTTCGGGATTTTAGGGTTTGGGGGTTGGGGGGCGGGGTTTGTTGCAAGATCTCCCAGGTTCCGCACAGCAGGCTGTCCATGGAGACGCTCGGGCCGAAACGTGAGGGAACTGCTTCGACCGTTCTTCGGCCATTGCCTTTGCCTTTGCTGTGGTTTTTTCTTCATTTCGGGCTTCGCCTAGGTCCTGCATTAGTTGGAACCTCTTGAGGGGCCTTTGATGGAGCTTTCAGCTCCGTCCAAAGCAGAGTAAGCCGTGGATCCTCAGCCTTTGACAGCCCCTTTGCGTGAAGGAAGGAGCTCTGAGCTTGCCACATCCTGACCTAGTATGCTCTGTTGTGAAGCCAGCGTGGAAGGCATGCGCATCGACCGCCTGGGAATTTCTTTGGCGGCTCCATGTGGCTGGCTTACTGCATTTGTGGGCAACTGCGATGTGATTTGAAGAGCCAGTGCTGCCCTGTCCGGAAGATCTCTAGCTGTTGTTGAGCACCTGGCTGAGACCGCGGCCGCCTGGCATGTTCGATGGCCCTCTGCAGCAGCTTGCTGCAGCCCAGCCCAACATTCAGGGCGGAATGTTGCTTGGCCGAAGTATTTGAAGCGGGCGCGCCACGGCCGATTCAATTTGCAGAAAGCGATGCAAGGACCGGGCAAGGAAACTACACTGGCGACATGCGGCTGGGACGCAGAGAGCAACAGACCGGGCCAGTAGGCCAGTCGGCCAGTCTCAGCTGCCTGAGGCTTCCGCAAGAAGGCGCAGAACTCTTGGACATGGAGCTTGTGAAGATGCAGGCGATGCAGGCGACGAAGCGCCCCGAAGCGAGCGCGCGCCCACTTTCGCCGCTTTCGCGTCTTCACAGGCTGAGCTCCAGAAGCTGACGCCGACCTCTCAGACCGAACGAAAAGGGTAAGAGCCGCAAACGAATGCTCGCACATGCTCTCGTCGCGCTGAGGGCCACGCGAGCAGGCTCCAGCCATCAGCTCTTTGGCCGCGCAAAGCCTCTGAAGTGGTCTTCTGAAGCGCCAAAGTAGCCTTTTCTTCTGCTTGAATTTGAGTATTTGGAGCTTTTCAGCGGCTTGATGACGACAGGGAAGGCCCCGTCTAAGTTGGTAGAAGTAGAGTGGAGCCCGGTTCACCGACACTACCAAGCATCCTTCGGAAGGCGTCGAGTGAGTTCTTTCTTGCCTCCCAGGCACCCCGAGCTGGCCCAGATGCCAATGCATGGACCCCGGTTTGGATGGTTTAGGGTTTAGGGCTTAGGGTCAGGGGGAGAAGAAGCAAGAAGCATTGCGGCAGCGCTTCCCATCCGAGGTCGTCTTCCGCAAACGCTTCCTTTCGGATTTCCAATTTCCCAGTGTCTGGCGCTTTCTCTTGCCGAAAGAAACCGCAGTGCAGAAGCTTCTGCGGCTTGCGTCCTCAGGCCAAAGTCGGACTTCATGGCTCAGGCAGGTTATTTCCAGGTTTTTTCGAGTCTCGAGTCTTGAAGCTTTGTCAGGCGCTGGTAGTTTCGATTTAGTGGTGTCTGTTTTGCTTCTGTTCGTTGGACGTTGGTTGAAGTGTCATTCTGGGCTGCAGCTCTGCTCTCGGAGGCAGTCGCTGGCGACCTCCAACTACCACCCGGGCCGCGTCCTGAAAGCAGAACACATGGACAAACAGTTTGTGCTTCGCGTTTTTTGTCCTCTCGCGTCGCTTGCGTCGAGGGGGCCAGCTTCTGCGAATGTCGCAGAGCAGCAGCTGCACCACCAACTGCTGGAGTCGCAGTGCCTTGGCATTCTAGGATGCGTCGGCCTCCCTTGGCCACGCTGCACCGTCCCAGGATGCAGCAGCTGCAGCTGCAGCAGCAGGCACGGGGTCTCGTCTGCGACGACAAGGACCCAGCAGTAAGTAGCAGTTCTGTGCCGCCGCCAGATGCAGCAGCTTCAAGTGCAGACGCAGCGACTTCAACAGCAGCTGGCTGGGTGTTGCTCTCAGTGGGTCTCAACTTTCGTTCGCAAGCTTCGAGTCTTCAAAATAGGCTATGAGCTGGCAGCGGTTTGAGGCAGCAGACCACCGGCGTTTCACAGCCATCCGACGAAGATGCACTTCTTTCCCAGATTCCCTTCAATGACGAAGGCAAGGAGAGGATCTCGTCACGACGGTGCCTGACCTTGCCGGACAGGTGAGCGCGCTTCCCTTGGGAGCAGGTTACATCCAGACAACTGCAATCCCTGCATTTTCTGGTTCAAGGATAAGGCGAGGCAGTGAAGAGTCGGAGTTACAGAGTCAGCTGCAGTCAAGATCATGCTACACGCAACGACTCCTGTGGGCAGACCTTCTGCAACAAGGGCATTATGTGTGACTTTTGCCACTTCCGGCACCCAGGCTGGCCCGTGGTACGTTCCCCGTCAAAAGGTATGGTCTTTTTGTGTTGTGAAGTTCAATGCAAGGCCAGAAGAACAAAAGGATCCGACCCTCGAAGAATACCCGCTTACAGTGTCCTGGAAGCACAGATTGGCACGTCTTGCCATGTCCTGCCTGCTTCGTCCCGACTGGGCCGTCCAAATGTCTCTGACCACTTGTTAGCCAACGCAAATCCTGACGGTATATGTGTGGTTGTCAAAATTATGGTACCTTTTTGCACCCTAAATATTAGGTGCCGTGCTATATTAGGGTACTCAAAAAAGAACCCTAATTACAACCACCCAAAATTCTCTAGCCATTGTCTGCAGTTAAGGATGCGGGCTGCTCAAGCCGCCCGAGGGGGGGCAGAGATCTCTGGCCTGGCATAAGTAGGCGCGGCAGCAGACGGCCGACGTCTGGCCGCTCTTCATGCGCGCATGTCTGTGCCCCTGCTCGCCAGATGTGTGAGAGAGGCGATGCAACATTCTTGAGCTTTTTCTAATGGAGGTGGCGGAGAGCCGGCAAATCTCAGTCAGAGTCAAAGCTCGCCGACATCCATCAACAGTTTGAGCAAGCTTTTCCTGCCTCCTTGATACTTAAGTTCAGAAGATGAGGGTGCGTCTGGCATGATCATGCCTGCCCCTCAACCAGATCCGCAGTAATTTGTCCAGCCCAGACGATTGGCAAAGCATACGATGGCACCTCGGTCAAGATTCTCCCTGTCTGCAGCTCTTTCACTCCAGGCTGTCTGGGCCCTTTTGGCATTTTCAAGCTCCATTCCGACTGGTGCACAAAGGGCATCACCGCACTACTGCGTGCTCGGTGTACATGAATGTGTTTGCCAGGCACGGTCTGTTTCTTTCGCGGAGGCAGCTCCCAGCCTCACTACAGAACTAGTGACCGCTGGCGTTCTCCACTGCCATTGTGCATCGCGGTTTCCTGTAGGATCGGTTCTAGGACAGGCCAGGATCCTTGCTTCTGCGCCTTGTGCCACAATGACATGGAGCTCCTCCGGCTCGGACCCTTGCAACCAAAAGCTTGTGACGGCAGCCGGAGGTAGTTTCACTCTGCAAGCCTTGTGGCTAGTAGTCGGCCATCCTTGCCCTGGCAGCCATGTCTGAGACTTGCAAAGCTCTAGGCTGGGGCATGAGAGACTTCGGTACACAATGGCTGCTGGGGAATATCAGTAGCGATTTCTGTGCGTTTTCCAGGAGATAGGCGCAGAAGAGATGGGAGAAAAGCTGTGTGATGATGCTACCCCGAACTCCCAGACCCCGAACCCCAGAAGAACCCAAACCCCTTATAGAACCGGAAACCCTAAACACACTCCAAAACCCAAAACCCTCGCGACCCTAAACTTAAAATCCCAAAATCCTAAATCCTTGCTTCGCTTCAGCTTGGTCGCTCTCATTTTCGGGCTCAAGGGCCTTGAGCCCAAGATCCGCAGATCGTGTGGCCCCCAACTTACGGGGGTCGCACGCGATGAAGCCCAGCCCTCAGCGGACTTTCAGCGCCGTTCGAGGGGAATTTTTGGGCGTTTGAGGATCTTTGTTCTAGTGATCTGGTGTCCTAGCAGTGTAGTACTTCAAGTTCAGGACTTTTCAGGTTTAGGGCTTTTGCTCCGGGGCCCAAAGACTAAAGAGCTTTGGACTTGGAGCCGCCCCCATTCTTGCTTCCGGGAGGTTCTGCGCATGGCTCTGCATAGCTCTGCTGCAAGAAGGCAGGCGGCTTGGAGCTGCAGGGCTCCGAGAGCTCAAGGTCTGTGAGCTTCTGTAAGTTGAGAGGCCATGCCGGTGTACTCCGACGGCCAGCACTTTCAGGCAAGGGGCTTGGCTTCCGTCGATCCGAGCCGCCCTTTTGCTCTTTCGTGTGGAAGGAAGCGTCTTTGAGGTGCCGAGATGCCGTGGATTGGTGAACAGATGCTGAAAGCTGCCGAACAGCATGCTTCCTTGGCCTGTTTGCAGAGAAGGGTGCGGCAACCCGTCATGTGGAGGGCTCTTTGTGAATGTTCGTCCCGAGATTCAGGTCTTGCTTGGCCAGTTATCACCCACGGGGGTAGGCGTGTGTAGAATCCCCGGCAGGTAAATGTTGCCAGACTCGCGGAACAGAGTTCGAAGTCAAGCCACGATGTCAGGAGCTTACTGTTACCCTCAATCGGCCTTGCCGAAGAGGAACGAGTCACCTCGTGTCTCTCGGGTTTGCCTAAGCCTGCACCTTCGATTCGCCAGGCCATGCTCTCGGCCCAGCAGCAGCTCGCAGCTGAGGCATGAAAAGTAGGGAGCGGATCACCGGCGATCGCTTCAAACTCCGTTGCCTCCGTTGGTGGACAGTTGCTGCGGCATTGCGTGAGGTTCGGCAAGTACTGCGAAAGCCTGCCAGGACGCAGCAGTGCAGAGCGCCGACTTCTTGGCAAAGCAGCCGGATGCGGAAACGGTCATTCAGAAGGCTGCCCCTTGGGATCGGGAGCTACTAGCATGCCCACAGAAAATCGGCCCAACATGGTGAAAATACAGTCCTAGACCCCAAACTTGCGACCCTGTCAGGAGCTCCACAAGGCAAGAGACTGGGCCGCGCAGGCCTGCGGCTGAGCCGCTGCTGGGGCAAAGGCCGAAGTCCGAAGCAAAGCGAAGAAAGCCGAGGCCCAGGCCTACTCCAAGCACGCTCAGCAGACGGCTGCAGAGATGAGGCCAGCGAATACTAGTCATGGTCATCGAGGTCATAGAGTCATCATCAGGGGTCAAAGAAGTCGTAGAAGTCATAGAAACAGTCACAGTAGTGTGCTGTCTGTTTCTGTCAGGAAGCTGCCACAGGAGGCGGCTGCCTCCGTTGGCAAGGCAGTTGAGGAGGAGGCGGTCATGCCGGTTTGGAAGCTTCGGGCGTGGGTGCCGCATTCACCGGGGCTCAGGTCCAGAAGGAAGCCTACATGGCCGCAGAAAGCACGCTCCCAATTCCGAGCTGCAGCTTCCTTCTCCCAAAGGCTTTATCAACTCCTCCTACTATAGACCGACAGTGTTTCGAAGACCGTCCAGTCTTGCCTTGCATGGCCTAGCGGTCCAGCGCAGTCTTGAGACCGCTGCCCAGGAAGAGCTGCAGGGCCAGTCGAGTCTGAGCAGGTGCAGAGGGCTGCGTTTTTTTCAGGCTTTCTCTCTGGAACTAGGAAGATAGTGGTGGGCATCTCCTCATGAGCTGAGCAGAATTGGAACTTCGGGGTGGATCCGTTGGGATGCAGGCACAAGCTGAGCGCCTGGCTGCAAAGCAAGTCGCTGCAGCTGCAACCTGGCAAAGATACACCTATATATGGGGGTCGCAGCCGTGCACTGCGTGTTTTGGTTCGACTATGTTGGTCATGGAAGCACGACTTGTTATCCAAGGAGCCATACAAGCAAGGTGCGGAGCAGCTCAAGGATCTTGGGGTATGGTGTGTGTGCTTTAAGTCTTCGCCTCGTGCCAGCCGTCGAGCGAGCTCGGCAGAATGTGCAGCTGTCCCTTGCGCACTCTCAGCTGCGAGCTCGGCAGGGGCTCTCCCGGTGGTGTTTCGGAGTGTCGTGACACTCACTGCAGGGCGGCCGCCAATGCCGTCGACCGACTTGCTGAGGAGTCGCAGGCAAAGGGGTCCAACGGTTCAACTCACGGGGACGTGAAAGGGATCTGCTTCCCCTATCCGAATCTTAGGCCATGGCGCGCAAAGCGCAGGCCTTGCAGGTGGATGGGGGTCTCTTGTGCCTGTCATGTTGGCGGGCTTTTGCCTTCAGAGAGATTGGCCACCTGAAGGATGAAGGGGCCGCCCTGCCAGCACAGCAGGCAATGCTGAAGGCAGGGCACAGTGTTTTTTTTTGTTTTTTTTTGGTTTCTGTATGTGCATTTTTCTGGTTCACAGCTGGCGACAAGGGCACAGGCAGGCACAGAGAGACGACAGAAAGACAGAACGAAAGCAATAAATAAAGAAGCCAAAAATTAACCCACACCGAAAGAACGGAATTAAGATAGAATCAAAGAAAGACAGAAAGAGAGACTTCAACAAAGAACGAAACAACGAAAGAAAGAAAGAAGCACCGAAAGAAATGAATGAACAAAGAAACAAAGTCAGGCACAGGAAGAAAGAGCGAAACAAAGAAAGACAGAAAGAAAGAACCCCACACCGAAAGAAAGGCATAAAGAACGAATCAGACAAAGACAGGACGAAAGACTTCAACAAAGAGCGAACGAAATGAATGAATAAAGAAAGCATGCCAGGCTCCAGAAATCAAGAAACACGGCATCACGAGGGAAAGAAAAACGGGAACAAAGGAAGACGTAAGGAGAGAAATAAAGACAGACAGAAATAAATGAAGACAGAAAGAACGAAAACAAGGGCATAAACACAGAAAGGGGCAAAAGAAAGAAGCCAACGCGGGAAGAAAGACTGGTTGAAATAACGAAGGAAGCATAGAGAAGTGATAAAGACAGAAAGAAGCAGAGAAAGAACAACAGAAACCAAGACAGCAAGCAAGAGGGAGATAAATAACGACGGCATGTAAGAAAGAACGGAAGAAATAACCACATAACGAAAGAAACTAACAAACAAGCAAATAAAGAACGCAACCAATAACGAAAGAGAGAAACCAAGAAGAACCCAAGAAACAGCGAAGGAACGAAGGAAATAACAGTCTAGCGAAAGACCGAAAGAACGCCAACAACAGGCATACTAAAATCAGTGTGAGAGTTTTTGTTAAGCACGCGGGTGTGTGTTTGTGTGTGCGGAAGGCAAAGACACGTCTGCCCTCTCTCGTTTCGAAATTTGCGCACGAACGATGCCAGTTGACACATGAGAAGACCTTGCCAGGCATGCCCAGCTTGGCTAAGCCTGCTTCCAAATCACAACCTGCGAGCAAAAAACAGAATGCATATAGATCGTTTCAGAACCCTGATGCAGATATTATGGTTGCAAATGGGGGGGCTGCGCCCCCCTAAACCCTCCGCTAAACCCTCGCTCCCTTTTTTGGCCGTGCAGCAGGCTGCGGGCTGCAGGCTGCCCATCAGAAGGGAGCGGGTTCACCACATGTGCAGAATCTGAATTGGCAAATGAGGAGGCGTGTTCAGAGGTCAAGATATGTGATGACAAGGCGTATTTAAGATACGTCATGAACTGGTATCGCTAAGTAACGAGCGGGCGTGTTTAAGACATATGATGAGCCCGCATCACCACATGAGGGGGCGTGTTTAAGATGCATGATGAATCGGAATCGCCAAAAGCGGGGTCGTGCTTACGACAGAAATATGATGAGCCCAAATCGCTCCTGCAAGTTGCAATTCCTGACGCAGACAGGAGCCTGCAAATTGATAATTCCCCAACAGCTTGACGCTTGGGCAAACAAGATCCTGCAAATCGTAGTTACCCATCAGTTTGACGCAAAGCAAGCCTGAAAATGTAATTCTCCAAGAGCTTAACACAAGACATGAGCCTCGAAATTGTGGCAAACAGGACCGTGCAAAGTGGCATTCCCCAATAGACTGATGCAGGGCAAGACCTTGTAGATCGTCACTACCCATTAGCTTGACGCAAAGCAAGATCCTGCAAAATGATAGCTGGACACAAGACAGGCCTCGAAATTGTAGACCCCCAATAGCTTCAGGCAAAACAAGACCCTTCTGTAATTGGAATTCCCGAATTAGTCGCTTGATGCAACAAAACAAGAGCAAAAGCTGCAGTGCACAGTATTTGCAACCAAGACGAGAGCGCCAACGTTAGCAGAGGACACGGGTGACCGCCAGCGTCAGGAAAGAACCCTCCGCCCACTTATGACTATGAGATACCAGAGTGTCGCTTTGTTGTGCAAGCCTGAGAATTGGGATGTGCAGCCCGGCAGCTGCTTATGCAAGAGGCTTCATCATAGGGAGTCTCGGCCAGGCCCTGATGTCGCATTTTGTTTGCGTGATCGCAGACACTCGCATTCCCTGAACTCTAGAAGCCCCAATGCTTGAGCCATAAACATCTCATGATAGTATGGAGAAGCGCTGCGCAAGTCATCGCGGCTTGTGCAACCAATCCATTTAAGGAATACGCACGGCGTCGTGGCAGAAGGTTAGAGTCGGTCAGCTTCTCGAGACGAGCTAAGAGGTTTTGAAAGCTTGGAAGCCGGGAAATCGACAAAACAAAATAGATTTGCAAAGAAAACAAGAAACAACAACAAACACAACATACACACACAGACACACACACAAATGAATTCCAGGCAGAGGCGGAGGCCAATCACAGCTGCCAGGCTATGTTCCGAAAACCAAAGAAAGCACAACCAGAACCAGAAAAATGTACATGAGAAAGCAAAAAATAGGCAAACAATCCTCGCTTGCTGAAGGCACATCAGCGGATGAAGCAGGCCAAATGGGAGGGCTTCAAGCGGGGATCGTGTTACTTGCTGGCTCTTGTGAGGGTCTGAGTGATGGGGCCAGACTGCACATGGCCGTTGCTGTATGGCTCGAGTCTTGGAATTTTCCCGTGGTTTGAAAAGCTCCCTGGCAGAACACAGGTGCCAGAGGTTTTGTTTGATGGATCCTGACCCAGTGTCCGAGGTTCTTGCGATGACGTGGTGACAGTGGGTGACGAGTCTCTAGCCAGATGCCGGGAGCCCAGGCTTCAAGGCACTCCGTCCTGAGCTCCGAGCCCTCTGCCCTGCAAGCCCTGCAAGCCCTTGCCCCGCCCTGAAGGGACCCTCATAGTACCACCCTTACAGTGCCCTTAAAGTCCCGTTTAGTCTAGTACCTCCCCTTGTAGTACCTTTAAAGTACCCTTTTAGTACCCTTTCCATTACCCAAGGCCCAGGCCCGTATTCCCAAACTTCGAGCTGTGTGTCTGTTCAGGATATGCAGCCGTCACAGTCGGAGGAGGCCTCCGAGGCTTCCGATGAAGAGGAAAGCACCTGGAAGTGGTGCGAGCTCTCGCCGTGACTTTGCTATGACTGTGGGTTTAGGGTCTTAGGGGGATCCTAGGGTTCAGGGTCTTCTTAGGGGGATCCTAGGGTTTGGGTTTTTTTTGGGATTTAGGGTTTAGGGCTTTGGGGGGTTTGGAGTTTGGGGTTTGTAGGGTTGCTCTTCGGGCTTAGATAGTGTTTTGAGTTTAGGGCCAGCAGAGACGCAACACCCTACTCACTCAATCCTGAAATCACGCTAACCCCCTTAAACATGCCTAAACACCAAACCCCAGACGCTTTGCCGAGGATCTTAAACTCTGAAGCGTAAATCCCCACTCCGTAGACCTTAACCCGAAATCCTTATCCCTTAAACCCAAACCCTAAACAAAACCCCTCACCGGTAAACCCTGAACCCTAGGGTGGCCCTGACGGCTGCGCTCCCAGAGGGTGTACCTCCTCGCGAGCTTTGCACAAGACTGCGCTGGATCCGACTCTTCTGGTGGCTGGCACTGCCACTCCCTGAGCAACGGCAAAAATTTTGCGGCAATATCGACTCTGCTTTAGAGTTCGGGGCTTTAGGGGTGTAGCGATTTCGTTGAGGGGGTCAGGGTTATGGGCTTCGGGGTTTGTTAGGGATTCTCTTTGGGTTGGTAAAGACGAGGTTGGTCTTCTACGCTTCCGTGCTGCTTCTGGCATCTACGGACAGGCTCTCCGGCGAGTCTTAAGCAGTTCCCTCGGTAGGGGATGGGTGCAGGAAGGTGCCCTGACACCATGAATTTCCCGAAAACCCTAAGCTCTCCAAAACCGTAAACGCGAAAGTGTTTGGCAGCTCGTCGCTGTTCTCAGGGAGCTCTCCAGCGCTCTGCGACAAGAGGCGGTCGAAGAGCTCTTCCCAGATGCTCGGCAGCACGACTAGCAACGAGTAGGCCCGCATCGATAGAGAAGATAAGCCTAGACCTTTAACCCTGTAAACTAGCCCGAAAATCCTTGTAAGCCCCAAGACCACCCCGACCTCCCCGAGCCTTGCAATTGGGGATTTCTATTTCCAAAGCCCAAAAGGACTGGAACAAAGCGGCCGAGCGGATGAAGGAGGGCATGAAGACGCCCGAGCTCAAGGACTGTGCAGCGCTTTGTCTCTGTGCGTCGAGGCGAAGCCAGGCGAGGTTCGGTTTTTGTGCCAGTAGGGCAGTAGGGTTCTGACAGGGCTTGCGCGGCTATGGCAGGGTCTTGGGGTTGCGGATCACGGCAGGGTTCAGAGTGCAGCATAACGTCGTGTAGAGCGGCTCAGAAGCCTTAGAAAGGCCAAAGAGCTCCTCTGAAACCGCCCTTCTTCTCAGCCCGTAGCCGGCGGCCTGGCGAGCTCAATTCATGGCCCAGCTCGGGGGCTCGGATCTGGCGAGCTCCAGCCGAGAGTATGTGCGGCTCCTGATGAAGCTGGGCTCGTGTTTTTTGGGATCTAAATCAACTTACAATTATTTTACAAAGAAGGCAAACATATAATATTTACTATAGATCCCCATTGTGGTATCTTTATGGTATCGTGAATACAGTGCCTTAACAAGAACCCAGGAAGCCGATGCTGACGTCCAGCATGTTCGGCTGCCAGCACGAGGATTGGGCCTTGGCTTTCGCGCGATGGAACGTCGCGTACGTGTGGGCGCTCTTTGTGGACCACCTCTTGTTCTGGCTACTGCAGGGGATCGGTCAGCTTCTGACACTTCGTCTGGTATCCCTCACAATTGGCGTGCTCTTCACTCTGCTGGACTTTCTCTTTTGTGTGGTCCTCAACTGGTGTTCTTGGTATTGTGTAGTGAAGAGGCTTGGCTTCTGCGGCCGCGTCGGGTACCTGTGCTGGGCACTGCTGTACGCGTGCTTGAACGTCGGGAGGCTCGGGGCTGTTACCAGGGACGTATCCTATTGGCTCCTTGATGCATTCGGGTTCTGTGATTTTTCTTTCGTGTGTTTCGTTCAACTGTGGCTCACAACTCAGAGCCGGCTTTGAGAATAGACACCACCCCGACCCAGGATCTACATTCTAATGCTCGTCCCGGCGGCCTACATGATTGTCGCACTTATCCAGCTCTTCCGTGGGGTCGGGGGCCGAGGCCCCTTACTTTCCGGTGCGGCGTGATTGCTCTGGCAGCTCCTCCGCAGAGATCACTCCGAGCCACGCTTTTGAAAGAGTTTCCTCTTTCAGTGAGAATTTGGAGCTGCCATGAACCGACCCGAAGTACACCAGAAGTTCGCTGCTTTGCTGAGACGCGCGGATGTCGAAAAGCCCGGCTTTGTTTGCATCGTCCGTCTGTGCGTCTCATCTTGCCACTCGGCCGGCACGACGCAAGGAGCTGTTGCACGTTGACGACGTGGCCTCGACCCTCACCATCTTCAACGACCGCTGTCGGGATCAGGCCCCTGGGTGCTTGCAGCCCAGAGCCGAGTACTCTTGCTGATGCAACTTGTTGCGCGCATCCCTGCAGTCCTTCGTCAGCACCTCCATGAAGGCCCGCCTTGCGGCTCCCTTTTCAGTAGAGCCTCGGACATCTAGTTGCAGGCTGTGTGGGAGTGCAAGCTCTTTGACGTCGTGGTGAACCGTCTCTCAGGCTTGGACATGCTTGGAAGACCGCTGTAGGAAGAGGGACGTTTCGACCCTCATTCCCAGGTGCGGAGTGGGACCCGGCTGATACTTGCCGGCAACAAGGAGACAAAGTGAAAGGGCACTTCCGTGTGCCATTGCTTTTCCATCCCTGCCGTCCGTTCTTCTGTTTTGGCCCGTCACTCACCCGGTTGGCATGCGAGTGGAGTCAGCTTTTGCGAAGCTGAGATGAACCGAAACCTTCCGGACACTGACTCCGACAACGTCTTCGGCACGGGCAAGAAAGGCGAGGATGGATTCGGAAAGCAACAGAACGTGGGCTGCACTGAAACTAGAGAGCGAGTGTCCGGGTTTGGAGCAGCGAGGTAGCAGGTAGCCAGCACCGCGACACGTAACAACATCTAATCCATCTGTTCCTCCCTCCACCCATTCACGCCTCCATCCATTCATCCATTCATCCATCCACGCAGCCGGGCTACGAACCCTTCTATAGATTTTGCTCTAAACCCTTCTACGACCACTTCTATGAAGGCCTGCAATCACCCTCTATAAACCGTTCTAAATACCATCCCACTAGAAAGCCTTCTGCCAACCCTCCTATGAACTGCTCTACAAGCCCTTCCCTAGCGGCATCCAGAACCCTTCAACAAAATAACCTGCAAACTTCTCAAACCCGTTTACAGGCCCTTCCATAAAGGTTTCTATGAAACGTTCTACAGAATGTATTGAACTTACAATCGATCGCACTTACCGGAGGACGTGGACACGCTGGGTGCACCGGGAGGGTCGCGAAATTCCCAGCACGAATCGTCGCTGCACCACATGCGCAGCGCGATTTCTCGCGACCAAAATGCTTCCCCTGATGTAGAGCACCGCCAAAAAGCGTCCCTGTGAGAGACACGACGGAGCAGAAATGTACTGGCGGGATTCAGGACCATGGCCAAAATCCTCTCAACGCCAGACGTCATCCCGCATGTAACGGCAGGATTCCAACTTTTCGAGACAGAAAAAGCCAACGCGGCACCACCGATGAACTGTTTCGCGCCATCAACCTCACGACGACCTCACATCCTCACACCAACATCATGCTGCGAATCATGCTATCCGTCCTACAGATGGCACCTCCATGGAAAAGTCCTCCGCAGCGCTTTCGGGAGAACTTACATTGTTTTGGGGCAGGCATCTTCGAGACGAAGGTCAACGAAGCTTCTAAGGACCGGAAAAAGTGGGGGGGCGCATGTCACGAGACCAAAGTCTTCCAAGCCTCCTCTCACCTGGGCCCGTGGGCAGGAGCTTGCCAACGAACGGCGTCGGGCCATGCAGACCATCTGCAGCATCTTGGTTTACGAAGCTCCGCATCCTCAATCTGAAGCCCGAAACCCAAACCCCTAGCAGCCCTGCGCCAAGATGCTTCTCTGAGGTGACATCTTCTTCCAGAACCACGTAGTCATCGGAGCCTCCGGCTGCAAAGTATCCCCATGTCACGAACTTTCAAGGCTCTACAGTACCAGCAAACTCAACCTCCGAGACCCTGAACTGTGGGAGCCCGGGGTCCTTGAGGCGACGACCCGAAGAAGGTGCCCTGGGGCAACGTGACCGCGTAGCTCGGCAGGGATTCCAGGGGACTACCAGGAACCTCTCATGAACTTTAGATTCTAAGGCCTGGGGTTTAGGGTCAAGAGTCTTGGTTTTGGGTTGATCTTGCTTTTCTTCGGCTTCTGCTGTGATGCCACCAGGTTTGACGAGGAAGTGGTCAATAAAGCGACTGCCGGCAGCGGCCTGCACCCAGCCGCTCGTTCAGATTGGGCCACGCCACCTGCGTTCGTGAGGCTTGTACATGTAGGTATAAACGTGCTCACACATACTCGTACGCGTG